ACCCCAGAATACATCCTAGCAGAAACACTCCCACCCCAGAATACATCCTAGCAGAAACACTCCCACCCCGAATACATCCTAGCAGAAACACTCCCTCCCGACACACCCCAGGTGGCGCTACTACTTACGCCGTAGTTGTCGGTGACGTCGATGTGCGGCAGGTGACTGAGCACGTACATCGTCTCCTCTGGCCGGTGGTCGAAGTACAGCTCGGCCGGACAGCTCAGGATAGGTGGCGCCACGTCTGTCAACAACAAACATGGGGGGACGCGATGTTGGTTTTTTGTGTGCGTGTATCTAGCTCGATCCGTTTGTCAGGTTTCGAAACATATGTCATATTATATATATATAGGGACCCTATTATCTACTCCTGATATATGTATGTATATATATAAATAAATAAAGAAAGAAATATATATATATATATGTATATATATATATATTAGNAGGCGATCGAATACACCGACACAACCCGGACCCCCGCAGAATACATCCTACGGCAGATAACTACTCCTCCCATGAATACATCCTAGGCAGAAAACTCCCCAGCGCGCCGGTCGCGAGGATCGCACGGCGCGGCCCCAGAATAGGCATCCGCTATGCAGGAAAACGTGCCGCGCCCGGCCAGCCACAGAATACCAGACGACATGACCATCCTAGGCAGGAAACACTGCAGGGTCCCAAGGCGCCAGAATTACATGGTCCTGGGGCGCAGGGGTGAGGAACACTCCCAACCCAGGCAATACATCCTAGCAGCAGAAGACACCTCCGCGGCGGCGCCATGAGGATGAATCCTACGCAGAAACACTCCCCAGCCAGGGACGTGCGCGGGCCGTGGCGGGTCCCTGGGAGGGTGGCGGGTGAGGGTGGGGGGCTGGAAGGTGACGTAGGGCAGAATCAACATCCTAGCCGGAGAAGTACGGGCCGGCCACCCAGACATACATCCGTAGCAGAAAAGCACTCCCACCGCGCAGAATACATGCCTGACGGCAGAGATAGGCACTCCCACCTGCCCCCGTGGGTGGAAGGTGCCTCGGCCGGCAGAATAGCATCCTAGCAGAAACACATCACCAAACACCCGGCCGGCAGATACATCCTACGCAGAGAACACATGATTATCGCCCACCGCGAGAATACATCCTAGGCAGAAACACTCCGCAGCCCAGAATAGCGATCCTAGGCCTAGGAAAACAGCGGCCACGTGGGAGGATCCACTCCGGCCAGAGATACATAGCGCCTATCCAGAACACTCCCACGCGCGACTCCGAGAATACATCCTACGCAGAAACACTCCCGACGGTCCCGAATAACATGCCGCTAAAGCAGAACCTTGACCACCGGCGCCAGAATACGGATTAGCGAAACACTCCAATCGCATCTCTCCACGCCCAAATACATTCCTAGCAGGAACACCTCCCCACCTCACAGAATACATCCTAGGCAGAAACGACTCCCCAACCGCCCCAGAATATATCCCTTAGGCAGGTAACACTCCCCTCCCCAGATACATCCTAGCAGAAACACTGGCCCCCGCGGCCAAGGATACATCCTAGCACGAAACACTGCCCCACCGCCAGAATACGATGCCTAGGGAAAATACTCCCCACCCGTTAGCCAAGAATACATCCTAGCAGAACACACTCCCACCGCCAGACTACAATCCTAGCAGCAACACTCGCACCCAGATACATCCTGGGCAGAAACACTCCCCACCCCAGAGATACATCCTAGCAGAAACACTGCCCTCCCAGGAATACACTCCTACGCAGAAACACTCCACCACCCAGAATACATCCTAGCAGAAACATTCCCACCCAGAAGATACATCCTACGCAGAACACTCCCATCCCTGCGCGCCGGACGCTGGACGGCGGGCGTGGTGGGGGTCGGGATGGGAAGGCGGCCGAGGCCCGCGGGCCCCAGACGCACAGAAACAGCTCCCACGCCCAGAAATAGCATTCCTAGCAGCAAACACTCCACCCCAGAATGGAGCAGTCCTAAGCAGAAACACTCCCACCGGGGGAGGAGCCAGAATACCATATCGCTAGCACGAAACACTCCCACCCCAAATACATCCCTAGCAGACAACATCCCCACCGCAGCAATACATCCTAGCAGAACACTCTCGCCACCGGCCACATATACATCCTAGCACAATAACACTCCCACCCCAGAATACATCCTAGGAAACACTCCCACACCAGAATGACTCCTGCGAACACACACGGACGTACCCCACCTGCCAAGAATGTACATCCCTAGTGGCCGAAACGCACTGCCCCACCCCAGAGATACATACCTATGGCAAAGACACTCCCACCCCAGAATACCACTCCTAGCAGAAACACTCCCTCCCGACACACCCCAGTGGGCACTGACTCTACGACGGTAGTTGTCGGTGACCGTCGATGTGCGGCCAGGTGAAATGAGCACGTACATGTTCGTGCTCCTCTGGCCGGTGTGGCGAAGTACAGGCTCGGCCGGGACGCAGCAGCTCAGGAATAGTGGTGTCCGGGACGGGTCTGTCAACAACAAACATGGGACGTTTTGTGTGCGTGTAAGTCTAGCTCGATCCATCTTTGTGAGTGTTCGGACAACATAGCTCATACTATATATTGAGTAGTACTATTGATATATTATATATAATTAGTTAATATTATATATAATGTATCATATATATATATCAGGGAGTAGATAATAAGGGACCGCTAATTATCTAACGCTACTCCTGATATATGTATGTATATATATAAATAAATAAATAAAGAAATATATATATATATATATATATTTAGGTAGGTTGATTCATTTTTGAGATATTTTACGTAGAAATAAATCCACCATCGTGACAGCTACTCCCCCTAGCGGTCATCAACAACAACGCGTGACCGCAACATCCTATGAAAAACATACACATCTACTCACGTGCTCATGCACACCTACAACAACAAAATAAACATACTCACCTATATACAACAACAAAAACATACGATAACCTCAAAATAACCATGCTCACCCACGAGTCTGACATTCACGAGGCAGACGGCGACGTTTCCGTCCTGGTCGCTGGCGGTGAAGGTCACGACCGTGTCCTTGGTGAACAGGTAGGGTGACGACAGGTCTGCTGGGTCGGATGTGTAGTAGACCTGTGAAGGTAGAGGGAACAGTGCGTCGATGACACGTGTGAAGCGCAAGCAGATATGCTGACATGTATATACATACACATAAATAAATAGATAAATACATAAATGGATGAATGGATGGATGAATGAATGAATGAATGAATGAATAACTGAATAAATAAATAAGTGAATACAAATAAATAAATATATAAATAAATAAATAAATAAATAAATAAATATATATATATAAGACGATGGTGTTGACAATGAAGCGGGGTGCCAATAATGACGATGATGGTGACAATGACGATGACGGTGATAATGACGACAATGACGACGACGATGATGATGACGATGATGGCGACAATGATGGCGACGATGATGGCGACGACGATGATGGCGATGATGGTGACAACGACAATAATGATAATGACGACGATGATGACGATGATGGTGACGGCGACGATGACGACAACGAAGCGAAGAGTTGTCAAACGCGTCAACCGTACGCAGCAGCATGCACACGCACCAAGCCTGAGTTATCGACAGCTGTAGGCCACGTGATGTTGATCGGCTGCGGGCCGCTGTTGTCGACGGGAACGATCCACTCCTCCCCGTCTCCATCCGGACAGTTCTCCCACTCGGGCGCCTGCGTATCTGTACAGAGTCGTGTAGCAGACGCCTGGGTTATAGTCTCGGGGGTTAGAGTTGGGATTAATTAAGATTTATAGCATAAAATTTACCTTTGCCATTACTAATGAGGCATAAAATTTTACCTTTGCCATTACCATAAGGCATAAATTTACCTTTGCCATTACTAATGAGGCATAAATTTACCTTTGCTATTATCATCAGGTAAATTTACCTTTGCCATTATCATCAGGTAAATTTACCTTTGCCATTATCATCAGGTAAATTTACCTTTGCCATTACTAATGAGCATAAATTTACCTTTGCCATTACCATAAGGCATAAATTTACCTTTGCTATTATCATCAGGCATAAATTTACCTTTGCCATTACTATAATGAGGCATACATTTACCTTTGCCATTACCATGAGGTAAATTTACCTTTGCCATTACCATAAGGCATAAATTTACCTTTGCCATTACTAAT